TGGATAGGACTAGCGGGCAGCGGGCTGCGAGTCGGAAAAACTTAACTGTTGGTGGTGTACCGTTGTGGGAAGAGTCTGTGCCGGGCCAAGCAGCAGCATCGAATCCCGCAGCAACCCGACAAGTGTTTGGTGGCGTTCTCTTGCTGGAGGACTCCGTCCTCATTGCTATAAATGAGCCTACCCGTATAGGCGAATTGTGTGCATTCGTATGTAAAGAGAGAAGGAGCACACAACGGGCGGGCACGGTTCTTCGAAAGGAGCATACTCACCGTAAGCCTGCATATGTCCTCACTGAAGAATCATCTGCGGGGCAGTAGGCTACGGGTGACATACGAGCAAGTCTGAAAGAAAGACTGAGACAGAGAGTCCTACCCCCGGCGCCAATCGCTATGCTGCTCGACCTACTTGGCGGAAGCTGCAACAGGCAGGCGTACGTCAGTTGGAGAGAGAGAGAGATCATTGATAGGAGTACGGTCAGMCACGCAAAACAAGTTTGATAGCTGCCCGAGGTAGAGCGCTCACTACTGAATGGAGAAGCTGCGAAGGACTGCTGGTTGCCGCAAGCTGCTGCTGCTGTTGACTGAGCCCTGGTTTRCTGYTGCACACTGTTGCACGCTGCTGCGTATTACCGCACACTATTGCGGGCTGCTGTTAACTAGGGCACGAGCTACTGCTGCGTTGCTGGCTGTTGCATGCGGCTAGTAACTGTTGGGGACTGCGGCCATTGCTGCTGACCATAGGCGAACATCGTTGCTAGGCATATGAACTGACACAGGGTATTGGGCGGCTGCAAACGGGCTTAAAGGAATAGTTGGACTTAAAGAGGAAGTTCGATGCTATGCGTTGGGGGCTCGTCAGAAGGTTTACTTCGGCAGTCGGAATTCGTTGACCAAGCTGCCTGTTGGCCGCCATTGCGGGGCCCTCAGGCAATGAAGGCAACGAGACCCTATCACGCGAGTCTCAGTGTACCATCCTTGGATCTCGAGAGTCTCAAACCCATCTCTTTCTGCCCATCTCAGTCTAAGTCTAGTCCTTGGTTACGAGGGGAAGGCGGCAGGCGGGATTGCATCCCGTAAGTCCGCATCAAGACTCTACGGGGAGTCCACCCACCGATTGCGGAAGCTTTTCCGGAACTCAGGAGGAGTTCTGGAGGCAGGGAACCTTAAGGTAAATCATCTTTATCTGTATAAATCCCACTATTACCCATGTTTGTCTATCTCCCTGCAGTATGATTTGTTGTATGCAGGCGTTTGTCCCTATGGTTTTTGCTTTCTCTTCAGGACCTAATCAGACTAACTGAAAAAAATGTGTGAGAGTGAAGCCTAAGTTTCTATTTTTGTTCTGATTGAAAGCAGACTAAGGATGAATTGGGGGAAGGTGTAAGGAAGGTAGCCTGCATGCGTTTGACCGGGTCAACCAAAGCCTGAGCATTGTTTCTACTGTGAATGGCTTAGGGCTGTGTTTATTTGGACTGTTTTCTGAAGGACCTGGCATTGTTTCCAAGGTGAATGGCTTGGTTGCTGTGTTTATTTAGCTGTTTTCTGAAGAACTTGGCATTGTTTCCAAGGTGAATGGCCTGACTCCTGTGTTTATTTAGTTGTTTTCTGGGAAACCAGGCATTGTTTCCATGGTGAATGACCTAGTTGCGCCAGTTAACACCGGGGTTTTGCCTGATTGAAGGAGTTCGAGTTCTTGTTTATTCTGAGGGAGGATTTCTGGTCTAAGGCTAAGCATTGTTTCCATGGTGAATGGTTTAGCCTGAAAACCACACACATAAGTTAAACTAAGTAAAAAGGGGAAATATTTTATGTATATTTGCATGTGAACTGGAAGCTGGGCATTGTTTCTACTGTGAATGGTCCAGCGTTAAGCCATATTATTAAGAAGAGAAAAAGGAAAGTACAAAGTATAAATGGAAATAGTTTGGGCAAGCTAAACATTGTTTCTACTGTGAATGGTTCAGCCCCCTGCCCATATTTGTCTTTTCTTTTTTAACAAAGTCAGAAAAAAACTAAAACTTTGGATATTAAACAGCTCACGGCGACTAGGCATTGTTTCCATGGCGAATGAC